AGAGCAAGCAGAGAATGCCCCTAATCCCTCCAAAGGAGAGCGGGTGTGCCTTGTCCCTTACTTAATAAGGGGGCTCGGATTTCCAATCCACCTATTTCTCCGGGGGCTGCTGGAGTTCTACGACCTCCAGCTACATCATCTCACGCCTGCCTCAGTATTGCATATCGCGGGCTTTGTAGCCCTCTGCGAGCTGTTCTTGGGTGTTGAAGCTCATTTCGAACTATGGAAGGAGCTATTTTTCCTCGTGCCCCGTTCCAAGAAGGGGTCAATGTATCAAGTGGGCGGAGCCAAAGTGTGGCGCATCGCCGGGACCGGATATCTGTCCGGAACCCCAAAGAAGGCGTCCGAAGACTGGCCCTCGGAATGGTTCTATATAGAAGACATCCCGCTGCCGGATCCTGTCCGGATCGGCCTCCCTGAATTCAATAGTGCTCCCTTAAATAAGCGCCTAAGCTGGCGCCCACGGAGCCCTTAGAGGGAAAGTGACAGGGACATCATTTACCTGATGGGCCGAATAAGATTGTTAGCCCATTCCGGACTAACCATGATCGGGGTTATGGCTGAATGCATTATGCGGGGGGTGCAGCTGCTTCAGTATAGAAGCCACCCCATGTGGGACTTCAACGGGGAGGACGACGCCACCCGCTATGGTTGTAAGGGGCCGGATTCAGCTGCCGCTCTACTAAAGATCTTGTCCACTTTGTATAAGGGAGAAGAGGAGGAATTTCTCCGCGTCAACCCTCAGGGTGGATTCTCCATGCACAATCCCCCGAGCTGGGTAAGCGGCCGTATTTACTTGTCCATCCGTTTTGTATTCCCATTGTTAAATATTTAGTCTGACGACTTTAACACGGGAACTGCGCCGGGCTGTTAAGGAAATAAGCAGCCCTCCTCCACAACCCGAGGACCCAGGACGGTCCCTCGACCTGATCTCTCAAGAGGATCCGGACATATCTGTGGAGCTGATTGATGGAGTGTTCCATCAATTGAGCGAGGACAACACCTTGGTGGCCATTACGGCCGATTACCCAGGGCTAATCCTGACGCCCCAGGTACCTGAGATCGAAGTCCTAGTACCCCGAATAGGTGTTCGCCCACTCTTGTTCAGTTTCCTGATTGCAACCGAACTTTACAGGGGAGGTTTTTAAGGCGGAAGGCCGAACCTGCGGCGACAAGCCAACAAGGGGCCGTAGGGCCCCGTGGGCTGAAAAGAAGTGCAGTCCGGACCGAGGCGTCGGCGCAAAGGTATGGCACGCCCCCCTTATCCCAGGTGTTATACCTTCGAGGCACATTGACACTCGTGCTCTCTTCAGGACAAAGAGACCTCGCCGGACTATACCCGGAGAGGCTGCCAATCGCGTTTCCACCAGCTAGGCTCCAAAGCCTGGTACGGAGGCGGAGGCGAACGCAAGGCGCACGCCAGACGCTCCTCCGACGGAGGATGTGGACGGGTTTTCAGTCACCAACTCTGAGGTGGAGAGTGCCATGAACCACAGGCGTCGCCGGACAATTCTTCGCGACGCTTGTTTCTCCCAAGGGGCGTTAGATGCCTTCAACTTGGGAGATGCGCACCTCCGTGCCGCTCAAAATGGTCTAGCCAGAGCCACGGAGCAATATGTAAAAGACATACGGGTAAGAAAATTTTGGTAATTGTATATATAGCAGTAGCCCCCGAGACTTGAAACAGTTAGAATAACTGATTTAAGGATCATTTGATATGCAGGTTCTTACAGAAAAGAATTCCCTACTGTCCAAGGAGCTGGAAGAGTGCAAAGCCCAACTGGAGGCCGCACTAGCCGCGGCAGGGGAGCCTAAGGAGACCCCCTCTGGTAATATACACTTCGAAAGATAAGTATTTTGCGAAGCACGGCTTTGGTGCGAATCTGACAAATGAAATTGTAGATGGCGCCGGATTGAATCCAGAAAGGCAACACCTCCTACGCCAGCTAAAGGCTGGTGAGAGGGTGCTATTAAAGGTGATGGGGGAGAAGAACGATCTCCAAGATGCCAACACCAGGCTGGGCGTCGAGCTGAAAGATGTTCGTGCCCAGCTATCAGACTCCGTGAAGGAGAATCAGCGGCTTCGGCGCGACATATTTAGTAAGTGCTTGAACGAACCTTTTGAAAGAAAGTTCGGCAGGGAAGTCGACTAACAGAGCAATGTCTGTACGTGTGCTAATAGGTCGTCCTGCAGAGGAGATGCCCGGTTCTACGGGTGACCTTCTTCCCGAGCTCTCGCAACTGCTCGATCGAGTTCGACAGGCGATGCGAGGCGTCGCCCAGGCCCTGTGGCCATCCATCTCC